TTTTCTGCAGACCAGACGAACAGGACCCAAACCCCCTCCCCCCAAACGAACGAATATCTTCTCTAAAAAAACATCGATATTTGTGGACGACCCCTAAGCTTCCATTCGGCATATCGTCAGCACCGGAAATCTTTCAGCAGCGGATGTCCTTCATCCTACAGGGTTTGGAGGGTGTCGTTTGTCAAATGGACGACATTCTGGTACACGGCCGCACTCAGGAGGAACCCGATCACCGCTTACGTGCCGTTCTCACGCGCCTGGTCCTAGCAGGTCTCACGCTGAACCCCGCTAAATGCCAATTCTCAGCCTCGGATCTCACGTTTCTCGGGGTGCACCTCACTCCCGACGGCAGCAAACCTGATGACGGCAAGACCGAAGCTATCCGGGTCTTCAGAACTCCGCAGTCGGCGTCAGATGTGCGTCGTTTTCTGGGTCTCGCTAATCGAGCCAATGATCTCATTAACGACACCACCCCGACCATGACACACCGTCGGAATCGATCAGTTCCAGTATGCCACTCACCAGTTCATCGTGGTCGTAGACTCCTACTCTCGGTATCCCGAGGTCCTACGGCTCACATCCATGACATCCGCCCGCGTTATCAAGCACCTCACCTCTGTCTTTGCTCGTCACGGAGTTCCTGCCATTATCCGTTCCGACAATGGGCCACAGTTTTCTTCAGCGGAATTCCACGCATTCTCTCAGCGCTTGGGTTTCGAGCACCAAACCGGCAGCCCTCACTATCCCCAGTCAAACGGTGAAGTCGAGCGAGCAGTCCGCACTGTCAAGTCTCTCCTGCAGAAATGCTCAACAGCTGCTGACTTTCAGATGGCCTTGCTGGCTTATCGCAGTACCCCACTGGGCTTCACTAAACACAGTCCAGCGGAGCTCCTCATGGGTCGGCGTCTCGCTACTGCCGTTCCCACCGCAGCTGAGCTCCTTCAACCGTCCACCGTGACCCCAGAGTCGTTTTCTGCTGCTTATTCGTCGCAGAAGGAGAAGTCCGTTCGGCAGTACAACCTGCGTCACTGCTCAGTTATTCAACCAGCCCTTCATCCAGGTGACGAGGTGATCGATATCTCTACGCCAGGTCATCGCGTCCGTGGATCAGTCGTCGGCACTGCTTCCGAGCCGCGGTCGTATCACATCCGGGTACCGTCCGGTATTGTTCGCCGCACACGCCAATAGTCTGTGGGCCAAGTGACAAAAATGTGAATTCTCGTTCCGAGTAAGAGGGCACCGCAATTTTTTTGGCCCAGTCGATAGATGGGCTGGCATACATTGAAAACCCGTTTGTTGTCATTCCTGAATTTGTCCAAGGGTTGCACGGCGAGTGAAATACAAATCAGCACCGGTTGCCATGGTAACCAGAACCTAAAATTGGATTTTCTGGCTAATTACAATGTTTTTGGTATTATTATTTTTTCCACAGGGTCATATATCCAGAGTGCCTCCTTCCCAGATTCAACTGGAAAGAGAAAAATATGATATAACATGAAAAATAAAGAAAAACAAAATGCCCAATACGTCCATATTGTTCATGTACACAGACGTGTGCAAGAAGACCGCGTGTGTCGAGCACAATACTGTAACTACTTCGAAACATCATTCGAGTCATTGTATACCATTTTATCAGGTCATAATAGGACTGGCTGTGGCATGCAGGTACTGTACATTGCAGAATACTATGTCTGATCTAAGAATATCTCAGACCGTTCAATACAAAAATGGTGTACATTATACAGATATAAGGCAGAACACACAGCCGCATTTATGCATTGCATAGTTATTATATGGGTTGCAGAATAATCTGAAAGTCCAGAGAAAGGATCACAACACTGTGACCATCAGCACAGGTCACTGACAGACCAGACCTGAAGGACCGCGTGACCCCAGAAGACTACGTTTGTTGCAGCTGTGTACGAGGGAGACTTCGTCATCATAACACTGACTTATACTGCAGGATTAGCGATACGGAATATGTTTCATGTTGCCAAAAAAGGTCGACCTGTAGAGAATAATCAGGTCACAGAAAATACACAATTCCAATTCCAATGATCACCCAACGTGTGGACAGAACTAGTTCGTCCTCTGTGGACTCATCAGCGCAGCACAGAGGAAATGAGGCCGAAGCCGATGGCAATGAAAAATAATCGCAATGATCATTCCCGTGCATTTTTATATATCCCACATTGATTTTAGTCCACATGTGATATTGATACTGAACACTGGGCAAACATCAGAAGGACTTGAATTGGGCATGATGTACAGTCACGTACATGTTCATGATTGTACAATATGCATCACTGAACTCTAATGAACACTCAATCTTCAATCACATTATACATACCTGTCAGGATGGGCATTCTTTTTCTTATTCATCCTCGTCTTCACTGAGTTCTGCAGTTACTTGAAGCTCCAGTGGTTGCCCATTCCCACACTCCTGGCCCGAGTGAAAGCACTTGCAAGCATCCGTGCAATTGAGGTGCTGTCTCCGGCAGGAGCAATGTTCGTGCTTGCAGCCTGTCGTGCAACCGCATGAAACAAATTCCATCAGGCTCGATGGTGCTGGTGCCAAGCTAAGCCAGTCCACTTCCAAACCACCGCCAGAATCAATGGTCCACCCTTGACCAGGGCTATGCGGTGGTGGGACATCCGCGGAAGCTTCCAGAGCACGGTGCCAGATACTGGCCTGGTAATTTGCTCTTGCAGCATGCTTGCGCAGCGCATCTTGGCAAGGAGGAAGGGAGCTGGATTGCGTCGAGCGAGAGCAGAACATCTGGTATCACACTTCGTTGATAGATGTGGCGGTGTTGAAGCCGTATATACCGCAAGTTAACTGCTCGATGCAAGCGAAAATGTCAGCTGGTAGTGCGTCAAATGATGCACTGAGTGCTGCCATAGCCTTTCGAGCCAGCTCGCCTTTTGGGGTTTGCTTGGTGATCAGCTGAAATGCTAGCTTCTTCCCTCTGCCACTGAAGGCACTGGTTGTGTCACAACCTGTATAGGCATGCATCCCCACCATGGCTTCGCAAACAGGGGCACTAAGCTCTCGTGTAATTCCTGTAGCATTGTTTATGGTAGTTAACCTCGCGCGCAAACATTCCAGAGACGGATTGACCAATTGCAACTTGGACCTTTTCGTCTTTTCTGACGTTTACTGCGTATAACATGTACATGTACATAACAGCTTCGCTGCAGCGTGTGCGTATTCACACCTGCTTGTGGACTGGACTACAATTCTTCCGGCCAGGTTGCTGGCGTCTCTCCTTCCCACAAAATATGCAGCCCTTCATGCCTGGAGCTACGACGGGCGCGGCTAGTGCGGCGCGCGTGCTGGGGCGGCGCTTGGCTTCTGGCTCTATCGACTCCGGCACAGACAGTTCTTCCGAATGGCTAGATGAGGGGTACTCTGCCTTCGTCGGAGGGTTATATTCGTTATTTTCTGGTAACATTTTCTGTGGAAGCCTCCGTTTCAGGCCAAACATCACTACGACATAACTCCCTGAGCTCAGCTAAATTTTCTACGGCAACAGCTTCACTAGTGCATATTTCACACACCTTCTTCCACGTTGTCTGGGTGAAGGGCTTCACCTCCTCACCGCACCCCGGAACTTGAATGAGACACTTTAAACTCATCACGATGCTTACTTCTAGTGCTACTTGACCACAGACATACTAGTACAAACTGAAACCAAAAACCAATCTCGAAATGAAAGTTCAAACTGAGAAGGAAGATGCCAAGTATAGTGGGTGCACGCCTGCACTGCAGTGCAGAGAGTAAGAATTGTGGGTCCGGGTGCACACCTGCAGAGAGTGTGCAGTGTACCAGATCGTACCAGATCACGACTTGACATGACAGGTAACACTGAATTCGTGTACTTTCGTCTATTCTGGTGCATAATCACATTTCACCGTGAGCACCACACACAACGTGCATGCACTGATGAATGCATACAAAACAATGGCCGCCGAGAGAGAAATTTTCAACATGGAAAAGCCGATTTTTGGATACCTTTCAGAAAGTTGTCAGAGTGACAACAACCGGAATCCTGCTCAGTAAGGTATCTAGAGTAGACGTGGCCAATAAAATTGCGGTGCCCAAAAGTCGGAACGAGATTTTTCTAGGCCTTTTTTCAGGTTTGGCCCACGGACTACAACACTTGATTGCTGTTTAGGCCATCACAGTTGTCTTATGGTTTGGTTTTCTCTTTCTTCTATCCCCTCTGTTTTCTCTCTCTCCCCGAGTCCATACTTTGCCAGTTCCAGCTCGTAACACTCCATTGTTTGCTGGATTTAAGTCTGCTATTCTTCATTGTGCTTACTGTATAGCAGGAAATTTTCGGACGGAATTTATTTTCGTACGATTTCGTACACGGCCTCTTTTGTACTAAAAATTAATTCCGTACTAAAATTTGTTCATGTGAAATTATGTACACTATACATATGCGTACTGCATGCAAACACGTGTATTTAGCATGCAGCACTGTACGAAAATATAATCCTTACGAAAGTTTTAAATTCGGCTTTGTCCGAAAATATTTCCGTCCGAAAATTTCCTGCTATACAGTATTCAGTTCCATTCTTTTTCGGCTTCCCACCTACCCTTCCTCTGGCTGTGCTGCATGCAACATGCTCATGTTTTCTTTTTGCACGGCATTCTGTCTTCCTTATCCCTTCTGGGCCTAACCCGGCCCGTGAGGGGGGGGAGATGGTGTAGTAGTACAGTAGTCGGCACTGTGCACGTATCCCGTACGCACGTGCCCTCACTATGCACGCACGCATACACCTTTTATGTGCTTCTTTATACACGGATGTTGATGAGAAATAAAGGGTTCTTCTCGACAACACAACAGTACCGAAGCAATGTAATTGATCGTGCAATGAGAATGAGTTATATCCTTGTAGATGGGGATCGAGAAAGAGAAGGTACGCTCTACACCACTTTTTGTTTTCAATTTCTAATCTAATCCCATTGTGTAAATTGTGTGAATATGTAGGATTCTAAATCGCAATAAACTGAGGTATCTGGGGAAAGATGTCTTCCACAAATTACGATCACTGAAACGCCTGTAAGTTGAAGTTTATTTCACTGGTTTTGTTATCTTTGTGTCCAACAGTACCTACTATTAAACTTGTAACCTAAGACAGTCACAATCATTTGGAAACGGTTGTGATGTTACTGAACGTTCCCTGTTAGGTGTTCAATAACATTGGGGCATGTAAAGAAAGATACTCGGTATACTGTGTACATCGTGAGTTTTAGTCGGAGGATAATGTTGTATTGATCTATAATTCTCCATGGATTTTGAAGTGGTTAGCGCTTTGCTCATTCACACGTGAAATGGTGGGGTTGGTTCCTGGTTGGAGCAAGGATTATCTCTACCCCAAGAGGACCATCTTGGAAGTGGTACCTAACTTCGGTTGGGAAGACAAAAACCCACAAGGGAGAGGAGATGAGCAAAGCCATCACGATGTCCAGCTCATTGAAACAGGAGGTCTCTAACATCTAATACCCCTGGGGTCAGATTTGCCAGATCAAACTTTCCCGCATTCATTTTCTTCTGCTTACAGATTCTTACATGGAAACCGAATATGGAAAATAACGAAACGAGCATTTTCTGGCCTTTCAAACATGGAGCAGCTGTAAGTGAACCCTGTGTGAATTTTTTTAAACCTATTTCAATACCGTCAACTAATGGATACCTATCATAGGATCCCAATTTCTCCCGTTTAATTTGGTCTGAGTCTTTTGTCGTTTTTTTACCTCTGTGTAATTTGAACCACCCCGGCCTGCATGGTTCACCTCTGCACACGCTGCTGCATGTGGGGTGTGCCACTGTGTGCAGGCTTTTCTTGCACAGTCTGTACCGGCTATAGCGTACCCTTTTGATTTCCGTGATTTTATCACTATAACCGATGCATCACTACATGCGATACGATCGATTTTTTTCGATCGACACATGAAAGGCAAGGAAATACTTCCAGCATGACGTTTTGACAAATGACCATCCTGCATAGTTGACAGTGCCCGCATTTCCATAAAAAATCGTTATGTACATGTGCATGTATCACTATAAAAATAAGCAACGTTTAAAATACATGTAGCAATAATATCAACTTTTTTAAGTTATCACTATAGCCGATAAAAATATAGTGTGTTATGCATGTTTTGATTCTTTGTTGGCATCATAATATCCGATATATCATTACATCCGATAATATTGGGTATTATTATTATTTAAAGAACTCTTCCTCTCCTCTCCTCCATGCGCTCTCACAGCCGACCCACTGCTACCCTCAGTAGCCATTACACACACCAACCAAGGAAGGGTTGCAGGTAGATAATGAAATTCCTCCTGACAGCTGATTCGCTTTCATAAGGCTCATCAGAGAAGGTGATATTGGTTGGTGTGTGTAATGGCTACTGAGGGTAGCAGTGAGTCGGCTGTGAGAGCGCATGGAGGAGAGGAAGAGTTCTTTACATTTTATTGGCCGAATAGTACCGTTCACCATTTGAAATATTATTATTATTATTATTGGTTAGAGCATCGCTGGCTACAAGCGAGGGTCCCTGGTTCGAGTCCTGGTGGTGACAGTCGATTTTTTCTTCAGACTTTTCCCGTTTTGTCTCTTTCCCTCAAACTAGTGAAGATTTTATGACTTGGGGCTCCCCGCGTGCTAGAGTGTACGTGAAGTGTGTGGGTACAGTGAGGGCTGCGTCCCACCCGCCTGTGTGGATTCACAGGAAGTGTGAGTTACGAAGTCTGAAGAAAATGTTGAACAGTCTCTGCTGGGATGACGACTACACCATAGCTCAGTGGTGAGAGCATCGCTAGCTACAAGCGAGGGTCCCTGGTTCGAGTCCTGGTGGTGACAGTCAATTTTTTCTTCAGACTTTTCCCGTTTTGTCTCTTTCCCTCAAACTAGTGAAGATTTTATGACTTGGGGCTCCCCGCGTGCTAGAGTGTACGTGAAGTGTGTGGGTACAGTGAGGGCTGCGTCCCACCCGCCTGTGTGGATTCACAGGAAGTGTGAGTTACGAAGTCTGAAGAAAATGTTGAACAGTCTCTGCTGGGATGACGACTACACCATAGCTCAGTGGTGAGAGCATCGCTAGCTACAAGTGAGGGTCCCTGGTTCGAGTCCTGGTGGTGACAGTCAATTTTTTCTTCAGACTTTTCCCGTTTTGTCTCTTTCCCTTAAACTAGAGAAGATTTTATGACTTGGGGCTCCTCGCGTGCTAGAGTGTACGTGAAGTGTGTGGGTACAGTGAGGGCTGCGTCCCACCCACCTGTGTGGATTCACAGGAAGTGTGAGTTACGAAGTCTGAAGAAAATGTTGAACAGTCTCTGCTGGGATGACGACTACACCATAGCTCAGTGGTTAGAGCATCGCTAGCTACAAGCGAGGGTCCCTGGTTCGAGTCCTGGTGGTGACAGTCAATTTTTTCTTCAGACTTTTCCCGTTTTGTCTCTTTCCCTCAAACTAGTGAAGATTATTATTATTATTATTATTATTATTTTAATAACGAAGGTACGTGTTGGGTCGTAAGTATCCAATCACACATCCAGTCAAAATAAGGCACTTGTCAAAGTATCCGAACGTTTTTGGTCCCTTCTCATCAAGGATTATACAGGGAATGGCTCAAGTTGGAAAGACTAAAACTTATATAGCGTAAAGATATGAGATAACAACACTCGTGACAAGGTGGAAAATTATCAAGTTCAGCACGACACAAAACTCGAAGGAAATAATAATAGTGACAAGAACATAGTGAGCAAATTAAGTTACATTGTTAACACCTCGATGAGGAGTAACACCAAACAATTGTAGCGACAACACATTTTCTTTCTGTACGCAAAGCTCAGGATCTAACTTACGGATATACAAAGCTTCTAACACAGCCAGATGCAACGCACATCTACCACGTGACAATATTGAGAACACATTATCACTGTACAACTCACGACAATTGGTACGGGCTGACAGATGTTGCTTGATGGACGAAGTGCGATTCTTAGCTCCGTTGGGTGTTGTCTCTACGTAAGTTAGACCCTGAGCTTTGAGTTCAGAAGTAGAATGTGTTGTCTTTGCAGTTGTTTGGCACTGTTCGTCGTGAAGGTGCGAAATAGATCTCTTGATATTTCTCTCTTTTTCTTGTCACTACGTTTTTGTCACTTATTGGATTTGCATGCTGTTGTTTTGATTCTTCACATCTATTTTTTCGTGTCACTTCTACACATAATTGGAGTGATATGTTTCTGAACTTCTTTTCCTTATATGTAGGACTCAGTATAGAGTCCATGCACTATATGATGTCCAGCACCCTATATAGAGTCCATTGGTCCAAAATCCACTATACAGAGTCCAGGAGTCCACTCAGTTTTGATCAGCTTCATCCTGCCGCGCAATCCCCTATAAGGAGTACACTTTTTCTACAAGTCCCCTATTCACAGTCCAGGAGTCCAGTTTATCCAGTCACGCCGTCCTGTGTATTGTGCCCGAAAGAGAACAAACACATTTTCAGTTTTGCTTGCCTCGTGGCAGCGCATTCCTTTCTCCACTTTAGCCATGGCTCCCAGTTCTGCTGTGCAGTTGCTGACAGTAATCTGTCTCGAGGTAACCAAGGAGGATAAGGAGACGTTCAAAATCAAATCTGGAAAGCGTCTTGTGGTTCTCTGAAGACGTTTCATCAGTGCGCGGGATGAAAGCAGAAATTGCAGAACGAGAAAAGTTCAGCACAGTTCAAATCTGACGAGTCAGGTACACTGACACTCTCTTTCGTTCGACGCCACAAGGATCCCCTGTTTGGCTGGCCATTGCTGCCAGTAAGACGTTTGAACGGTTTCATCAGAGCGAGGGATGAAAGCAGAAAGCGGAGAAGGAGAAAAGTTCAGCACAGTTCCAATCTGACGAGTCAGATACACTGACACTCTCTTTCGTTCGACGCCACAAGGATACCCTGTTTGACTGGACAAGAGCTGCCTGTACCACCGTGTCAAAAGGCTGTCCAACTACATGACAGGACGATGACTGAGGTAAGGAAGCTTTTACTCGTTTCGATTGGTCTGCTGTTCTGTCGTTATGCTTGAATTTGTTTCCATTTTCAAGGAGCGTATCGTGTTTGTTTGATGTTGCTTGAATGAATGCCCTAAAAGTAATCAACCACTTCGTAATAGTCCTCAAGGACTGCAAGGACTTTGCATCAATCGTATACTATCGTCTAGCTATCATCAATTATTATAATTATTTCATGAGAAATGTATTTTTATCCCTGTGAAAATTATGTGAAACTCCACGACACTCTTCCTCTACAAATTATAGTATGATGTCAAATACAATGGGATCCACAAACGCAGTGCCAGTGAACTAGTAGTAGTAGGAGGATTGCTTGTATGCCAATGACAAGAAAAAGCTTCAAGCTAATACTCGTATTCCCTGAAGTAACCGTGTTGATGTCATGAACATGACATTGTGTCAGTGAAACTGCCTCGTGACAACAAATCATTGCATTTCCATCTTGGGGAAGACTGACTGACGGCAACGCTTTACAGATTGTTCAAATCATCTCATTTCAATTTAGTTGCAGTGAAACACTGTGTACACTACATGTATGTTGGTGTGTCTGTGCGTCTTGAGTGTGCACAAACGATCTTATTCCTCGTATTACTAATAGATTATTGTCCCCACCGTCACCTGTTCACAGGTCTTTGAGTGGATTGATTTTCATTGAGCATCACATTCGTTGAGAACTTGGTAGTTGTGTGCTCCCATGCATCATTACGTTAATAAGCGTATCCTTGTGCTATATATTTGTTGCAGGTGTGCTGATCTTCAGAAGCTTGCGGAACTGAGTGCTGCTGAACATTTGCATGGCCATGAGCAATGGTGAAGCTTGCTATTGCACTCTCAGCATGTGCTAGTATTATGCTGACCACTGCACTATGTTACTCTCTTACACTACTACGTGTATGTAAACGTGCGTGTACCCGTCCCCGTATGCATTCGTTTCGTATAATTATTTGTTATCCCTCTTGACTTTACGTGTAAATGGGTGGACGTTTGCATGGCTGTTGGAGTTGCGTGTGTATTGTGTCTCTACTCTTTTATTGGTGTTTTCTTGGCGTTCTATAAGTTTGTGTGTGTGTGTGTGTGTGTGTGTGTGTGTGTGTGTGTGTGCGCGCAATAGTTTGAAAACAAATAATTGATCCTTGGCTCTCCATTATTCTCTTTCGATTCTTGTTTTTTTCTAGGTATTTTCTTGGCGTTGTGTGGGTGTGTACATGTGTGTGTGTGTGCGTGCACAATAATTTGGCAACACTGCATGATTGAGATATTGTAATTTGCAGCGTCTGCGTAGAGACCACTTGATTTGAGGATGGTGTTTGTAGGGTTTTTCATGTAGTGAAGTGGCTGCAGTGGCGCCTCAATACATATTTTTAATCTTGAGAAGTGAATGATGTAAAGGATAAGGGAGAGGCCGTTTTCTGGTTAATATTCACTGCTTACAGCAGATCCTATGTCTAATTTCGAACTCGATAGGGGATGCCTAATTGGCTGGACTTTATACAGGGAGTGTTGTCCACATAAAGACTCTTTAATCTTTATAGTTGATTTCAAAATTTGGACTCCGTACAGTTGAT